CGGTTCGATGTGTGAAATTCTGGTCCCAAGATATACGTTCGTGTCCGCACAATATTTACTTACTGAGTTTTTTAACTCGAAATGAAAGTCACCTAAATAGATCCATCTCCAAACAACGATGATAGGGCGATAGCGGCATGTCGACCATTACGTAACTACATCTCTTTGTCCTTTCTTCGTAGGTCACCATTGGATGGCCGTTTGAGTCTTCAAACATTTTTATCCTGCCATTGACCCAAAAACTGACGAATCAGCCGGAAGGTTTGCGAACGCTCACAGCTGGGACCATCATTATTTATGATCAGTAATTCACGCAATCTCTGGGGTCTAAGTGGGTAGCACGACGCCGTAAGCAGCGAAAATCCTAAGGAGGCTAGCTGACAGGAATTAACCGTTCCTTCAGAGATTCGCTTTTTGCGGCGTCACGATGCTCAACCGAATGCTGATGCAATGGCTCGTTATATGGACGCCTTCAGATAGCATCAGCATACTTCGAATGAGGTTAGTTCAGCACGAGACACGGGTAATGTCCGAAGGCCAGCATTGGAAATAACTGGTATAACATGCAGATTGGATTCAAACTGGCAACCGTCGTTTGATACAATTCTCTTGCCTGATTTACCAAGGTAGAAGAAGCTAGCATAAGCTAGCTAGAGTAAGCCAGAATACGAAGAAATATTTGGATTCCTTCAAACAGGAAATTGAGAGTCTCTTCTCAAAACTGACACCCCTTGTCTGTTTACACGTGCCCAAACACGTTTGCGGCCGTTCTTGTTTTTGCTCCGATAACAGGCTACCCTTTTTTTCGTGCTTTGCCACAATTATCGAAGATTCCAACATCAGTGTTCACACTGATGCTCAACTGCCGTGCTTACTCGTTGACGGCTACCGTATTCATGGACTAATGCACAGGATCGAAGCTTTCGCCCAATCATCGTTCAGCGGCTTCGGTTAACCTGAAAGGCATGAGCGAAAAAAGGGCATCGCACAGTTCTTTAACTTCTCAGCGCAGGATAGTACGCTTCCCAGCGCAAGGGATCGAAAAAAAACATCTAAAAATTGTTGTATATTTGCTGTTTTTCAAGTATTTCATCATTTATTGCTAAATCACTATCTTCCGTTTTCAGCTCTCAGTGTCAAAGTTTTGAATGAATAAAGCCTAGCTTTCGAGCCCTCAGTCTTTTCCATTATCATTCTGATTGTCGTTGCACTCCGACCCTCGTCGTACACAACAAAAATGCCTTGAACTGGGATCTAGACAGAGCGTGAACAGCCGTCCGGGGAAGGTTATTCCGTGAAAGGAAAAAACTGTTGCCAGATAAAAAGAAGTGCGTTCTGAGCGTCAAAATCCTCTTACCATGTCTCAGCCGTGCGCGATTTGTGTCACTGGTGAAAAACCTAATGGCCAAACCTTGTTCAAAGAGGGCGTAAGCATTAATTCCCTTCGGAGCGAAACACGCCAGGGGAAGAGTCCATTTACCTAGAAAAGGGGTTTCATAACCAACGGGTTTAGGACAGCAGCCAGCTTCGTAGCAGCTCGTTGGACACACTCAATGACAGTTACGATTCGCGTCCTGAGTAGACAACTAGGTTGGCATATTTAAGAGGCGGTCTGACGTAGGCCCCATATAGTATCTGCAAGTCCATGTGAGTAATAAGGGGGAAGGTGTGTCGAGTCATCCGCTGGACGAATGCTTTTTGGGCCCGTCTTATGGTGAAATGAGAACATGTTTGCAGCGAGCCGGAAACCCAAATCCTCTGGGTATATCTCTTCTGATGTATTCTCACTATGCACGACAAAGGGGTTCGCTGAGTTTCTACTGAACAAAATATGGAAGCACTTCGTCATTCGACGAAACACTGATTTGTTGCGTCTACATCCATTTAGTGTTGGAACCCCACAAAAAATACACTTGGATTTGAGGTCGCGTCTCAAAGGTAGTTGAAGTAAATCAAATTCAGGAATGAGTCTAAAACAAAGCATTGGTGAACCGCAATGGAGACCGGTGAAGAAGAGTAGGTCGAGCCTACTTTCACTCAGAATGTAACGGAGAAATCAAATCCCACAAGATCCAAACTTATGGGGGAGCAGAACGTGTGGGACTTGATCAAATGATTTCGAGAAGCCATAAAATATAGCATCTGACATGGGTCCTTTGTCTTTGTCCGTTAAGCTGTCCATAAACACGAACATGCTGCAGCATGTTCGTCACACAAAAACGGTTTGGTAGGAATCCGTGCTGCGCTGAGGAAACCAAGTTGCTGGTACTAAAGTCATTTAAGAGGGTCCACTTCTTCACCTTGCACGATATGTTAGTGAGGTCAATACGCTTCTAGCCGCCTGGCAACAAGCGGTCATCAGAGTTGCAGATCGCGCGACAATCACTTTCTTTGAGACAGAGGGAAGGTCACCTTCGTCGGGAGAATGAAGAAACATCAAACAAAAATGCTTCGTCAATGTAAGTGCTGTTTTATTCAGGATACTTAGATGGACCTTGTCTGGTCCCAGCTCCCTCAGTGGGTTTGACTTATGCAAACGTTAGCGAAGGAAATCAACCTGCTGTCATATTTGACTAGCCCGACGTTTTTCTTACTAGTCCAGCCAAGCTGCTCTCCCTTGGACATCAACGAAGTTGGTCTGGAGAACCACCTGGAGCACACATCGTGTCTGGCACCACGTCGAGTGCGGCATGTGCGGAGGATCCTTGAGGATCCCCTGAGGGAATGTTCTAATTGGTCCGAATGCGGCCAATCAGATTCGTCCCTTCACATTCACAGTTCAGCAGAAGACACTCGGGAACAAAGCTGACGTCCATCTTCCTCTGATCCGTGTCAGCTGCCTGATTCCCTCTTTCTGATATGGAAATTAGCAAGCCATAGCTGAGTTGAAACAGCTCAGCCGAAAGTTGACAGCTGGGTGCCACTGGCCCACCACCAAATTCTCGGCTCGATTTTGTGGATAACTTCGTGGTCATTGTGTGAATACAGCCGTGACAGCTCTCGTATACACATTGAAAGCTGTATCAAGCCACTGTAACTTCGATTATATGGTAACGGACCGTACTACAGGCCAGGTATAAGGGTCGGTTTTGTGAGACTACATGGTGTTGATATTCGAGAGTTTAACAAGCTCAACTGTCAAACTCGGTTAACAGCCCAAAAACGAAGTTTCACAGACAGCTCCATTTTGATCGCTGGAGGGCTACTTGACAGGCTTGTGAGAGATCTCAGCCTTGCTGGAGCATTCTCGGGATTTTAAGGCCAAATATTACATGACTAGACCGCTATAATTCACAGCAATGGTGTGGCTGGCCAAATACCTGTCTAGCAATTTGCTTTGCAAATACCACAAACAAACAACACACAAGGACGGGAATCTACATTGCGCTTGCCCGATAGATTTCATGAAAACACATTCACTGCCGTAAACAGGTTTGCAAATTATATGATAAATCTTAAATCAAAACAACCTGGCAAAAAAGATGTTTTCCGACGTTGCAGTTGCTGTAGATAATATTTTCAAGGATTCCTACAATCCTTATAAACTTGGAAAAATTAAGGGCTCCGTGTTTTGGGAAAACACTATGTCACCGTGAAATTTTGTCAAGAGACATCTCCTAAGACCCATGCCTTTTGCCCGAGAGTGCAGCGAAGTGCAACCAATCGGATTGAGCCTGTAAGTTAGCAAGCCTCTCCTCCAAAACTGGAGATTACAGTCGTATATTGTCTCTTGGTAAGCGCGCACGTCAGATTTACTTTGGCGTTCCACAGGTGTAGCAGAATTATGCGGTACCCAGAGGATTGGAATCCTCCAATCAAAAATGGGTGGCCATAATTATTCTAGGCGCCAACTCAGTGACAGCCAGATGCAAGACCTCAATAGAAGGGCCAGATTCTAGATAATAAATCACGAATTCATCGCCTCACTTTATCCGGAAAATTCATCGTAACTTCCACCCGACAATGATGCAAGTCAAACCGACCTGGTGGTTTCGGAAATACCGACAGCAGATACAATTTATTACATTCAGTGTTGGACGAATGGGTTCGGTTCATTCCTCACAGCATTCGCAACTGAGAGATGGACGGACCGAATTCACTGACGAAATTTTTTGATGGGTTACACCAATAAAGAACGTCACAAAGAGGACGCTTCTGGTCTCATAATAGCTGCACATCCACAGACTACTGGAAGAGCTCCAATGACCGTCTCTGATTCAAAATGGCACCGCAGGCCTTCATTGCAGTAAATACGGATAGAGCTCCTTAACAACCCTCCAAATGACGATATACAGTGGTTTGATATTTATTATCGGGTATTTTACGCTTCCTTCGATTTTCAAATACTGCTCTTGCAAGCCTCGGTCTTTCGACGCAGTGAGATGCATCATGATATTCATGGTTGGACCGGCCGTCGCGGTAAGCGGAGGTTGATAATCGCTGAAGGAACCTTAAGTCACTCGCAGAACAAGATACAACACTCTCCTGCAGTAATTGGATTGGCTGAGGATCATTGAAACTTCCTCGTTTTGGTGAATCACTTTATTCATTAGAGCTCTATGCAATGATTCATACGCAACCGTACGTTCATTCTGGTTGGCTCAGCGGTTATACGCTGAAATACAAAATGTTGTTAGGATAGGGGTTTCATTCAGCATTCACTTTGGCTGGTACTAAGTGGATGATCATTAGCCGGGCTACCGCTGCTCCTACTATGCCGTGTGCCTTCTAAAACTGTAGGACAGTGGATATGACGCGAACCGACAAGTTCTTTGGCGTGTATGACATCCAGTGGATTTGAGAATCACTGGGGGGGCTCGGATGGACGCGTTTAGTTCCCTGGTTTCACCTGCGCTGAACAAAACCCCGCATTTATCTTCTCGCATCACATTGGTTGGTAGTCTGCGCCTGTTTATTTCTTAACTATCAAACCGGACATGGACAGCAACTCCGCTGGCACTGAAGAAGCAAAAATGCTTTTGAGAACTCCTGTTTTTCAGGTGTGTTTCAAAGGGCTAAGGATGAGAGTCCCGATGAAAACTTCCTTCACCTGTACAATTTATCAAAGCGTTTCATTATACCGGTACCTTCCGCTATCCTTGAATCAACACTACTTCCTCTCGCTTCGGAGGCCATAAAAGCTACCGAAAAACTCACGTTTATCGCATCTCGGTCTGAACACACCAGCCTCAAACGACAGATGTATCTGTTAGCATTTCACCATAGACGCCTTTTGTGCACACAGAGGTTGATATCGGTGATTAATGGTCATTCACTGGATATCGCCTCTCTAGTCCGCTGATTTGATGCCTGGTCAAGGAGAAAATGGGGAGATTCCGCCAAACTGTTTGTTGCTCGCAATATTAGGAGTGATCTTGACCACCAGAGTTTTAAATAGCAGCACCGTTGCGGCGCAAAGTTCCCTAAACTGATGATCCAAGAGTAGACGGCAATAAAAAGCTAGAAACCTGTCTATTTCACGACTTTTGTCGCGCACGTCAATTGATATCATTCAAGCACGGTGAGCAACAGCGCAGAGAAGTGGACGGCAAAATAGGGAGCATGTTTAGCACATTGGTAAGAAATTGTAAGTGACCGAACTACGTGATCGGATTGATCCGGGAGCGTCGATGACACATTCAGTCGATCCGGATTAAATCTGAAAGCCTTCGGAGACTGTGGATGACTTCAAACACTTAAGTTCCTAGCCAAGGTAGTGAATGACGTGAGTCGGGGTAATGGGGCGCAGAAGTTCGCCCTAGAGTCAAGTGGTACTTAGAATACCAGAAGTATGTTCCTTAGGAACAGCAGGATGTGGTCTTTTTCGGTGGATAGATTATTACTGGTGTGTAGGACCTAACATTCACGCTGATAGGTATTCGCCGAATGCTTTACATTTCTCCAAAACCATGAGCTTCTCACGATAACCTCTCTATTGTTGAGAATGTTTACATGTAATGTATTTTTCCGAAAATTTTATGTACGGCCCATTTTGTTCAAGGGAGCGAATCTTCACGGTCATAAGTAACCTCAAAATTTATTTCCATCGGGAACTGCCGTAAAACGTTAAACTTTTACAATGATCGGAGTTTTCAGGTTGTTCTGGGGCTGAAATTTTTTAATGAATCGACTAGAGTCCACATGGCGCTCGTGAAAAGGACATATGAACTGGCGTCGCCGCTGCGTTTCAATATAGCCTCGCACCCCATGCTTGACTGTACGAATACTGCATGCTGTGATATGGGACCTGGTAAGTTGCCCATCTGTGTAATCATCGCGGCATACGTTCGTTATAAGCGGATTACTCAGACGTGGTTTGACGAACGTAAGGCTTGAATATGATCATGAACCATGATAAAGTTTGTGATTAACTGAATGAGCTATCCATGGAAAATGGTGAACCATACAAGGCTTGACATAACCGGTTGCAAGGAGTGGCCAGACAGTTTGTGGCCGGTATTGTACATGGTTGGTAACTCATCATAAGACCGACCATTGAATCTCTAACTACGTGAGGAAGAATGTCGGTGATTAAAAAATACACTAATGGGAAATTAAGTGACATACGACTAACGTGCTATCAGGGGTCGACGTTGCCTGTTACAGTCAAACGGTATCTTCGAATGACGCGTTGTATCAGAACCTCCGAGAAGGCAAAATATTGTCTGAGCTGGGTTTGTGTGCGGTGCTATTAATGTGAGACAAATCTACAAAATATACGAACTACGGCGATAGACACTCATCCAAAACAAATAGTTTAGTTGCACCATAAAATTACGAATCAAGCGATCAAACAAGCTCACGCGTGACAAGGTCACACGTACACAAGGTCAGTTACAAATTGGCTGAACGACTCTAGCTAAGAATGACGGGAACGCTATTGACAAGCAAACGTCTTTTCATACGCACTCGCTAAACACAACGGCGGACCAAAGGTTACAAATAGGGCCAGAAGAAACATCAGGAATTCCAAATATCAAAGTAATGTGTGCTACACTAACCAACCATCTAGCCGCGTAGAACCCACGTCGATCGCAGGGGACAGATGAACGAACTCAGCTTACGCACGTAACCAACTTGCGGCCCGGCTCCACGACGCCAAGTCAGCAAGCTAGATGTTGTCATTCGATCAAGTGGCATCCACCTCGAATATGTAAAGTTAACAGTCCAACTTTCTTGAAATAAAAAGTTGAACTTCATTAAGCGTTTTTAATATTACGTTTGTAGTGGCAGCAGGCGTGACCAGCTAACGCCATGAAATGAGAGGTGCATGTCAGGTAGTTTAGATACATATCACGATGAGGTGGGCGGCTGAAAAACTGAGAAGAATACTCATCCTTAAGCGCGGGGAATCCAGCGTGGGCAATCTCGAATTTCGGGCCAACGCCATTTTTGCGGGTGATATACGAGTTCTCCGTGTGTTAAACGATGAATCGTGGGTCGGTGCGTTGCGGTAGCTGAAGGTTTTGTCGGAATCTGTGAGCGTGCACTTCGACAAACAGAAAACTCACTGCAAGGCATTTTCTGTGCAAGTAATTGTGTAGAATGTTTTGGCTTTTCGCAGTGTCTACGACTTAAATACACGGATAATGTACAAGACGTACCAGGATATTGATGGCTTCGCGACTAAAAATAGAATATGACACCGAAGCCGAAAAATATACCCGTTAAAACTTATGCCGCTAATTTCTCCAAGACAAACGTCTTCAACGAATATCGTTCGTCAATCATTCCCCTGAGAATGCCAAACAATTAAGGTGCAGGAGCAAGTCGTTCACGCTTAACGAATTAATAGAAAGTCGGATGTCCGTTATCCACGCCATCTGTGACGAGGAAGATGTAGAAATTTTATCTAAGGGCGTGACATTAGTTGCGTTACAGAGACTTACCCAAAGCGGTCAGTTGCATGTGGTACATTGGTGCCAACTACAACGCTGCCATTAGCCACCTGGTTTGGCACATATATTTACCTTAACCTTCCCATTACTGTGGCTCGCGCACATGTCTAAAGCTACCAAAAGCATATCATCCGTCAAGATAAAATCCAACTAAGAGGTTTTAATCAACAGAGAATATTGACATACATAACGGCGGTTGTACATGTGTGCACATATGTATGTACATATATATGTATATATATGTACATATACGTATATGTATACGTATATGCTGTTAAGGAACTTATCGGGTCCATCATTAATAAAACCGACGCCCCCCAGTTGATGACTTACCACAGTCTACCAGGGCCGTGCAGGTGTCCTTGATTTACCGGAATTCCATCATTAAAGTCTTATGACTCTATGGTTGTGTTAGAGATCGTAAGAAGTAACTGTTTGATGGATTTTGTATCTACTTAACCCGGACAGCCAATGCTTCTCCACCGGCTGTTATCAGCAAATGCTCTCAAATTGCCAGCAGCTTCGGGGTCCTCGACATCCTGGTGGTCTCACTTGCCTCCCGCCACGAAAATACAACAAAAACAGCTGCCAATGTTTTGACAACCACATCTGAATTCCTATCTGTAGCCATAAGGCCGCAAACTTAAAATTGAATGCATGCCAACGATTACAAATGGGGACTTATAGGAAATTTCTACAAACATAAAGCAGCTTATGGCTTCTTCCGTCTGAGCGCACGTGAGCAAAATGGAGCATTTACAACAAAATATTTTAATTAAAACCCTCCGAAGTTCCGGCAAAAAATCATAAGTAACCGAAAAATCAGCAAACTACACCCTAATCAGTGAATTTCTGAACTGAGCACGCCGAAAGCGCGACGGTAAATTATGCTGGTTAATCTGAGGGGAGGGTTACGGATATGTGCCAACTCGCCTTGGTTGTGGTTGGGCCAAGCAGGAAATACCCTGGTATTTTCGACAGAACGATAATGACGATGAAAGATTAACGCGGAGTTTATGAAGGAAATGTTTGAAGGAGCACTATCAGGCTTCTTTCTCTGGACAGTGCATTTTTATACATCATCGCGTAGAATATTTTCATCCGATTATCTTGTGCCATGATAAGTTAAAAAACCTGGATATCAAAATAAACTGAGATGCAATATATTATCGGAAATAATTGAATTTCTCCTTCTTAATTTTCATCAGTAAGCGCTAAACCGACAAAAATTCTTTGCGGGTATCTCTCAAAAGTCGTGGGAAAAGCAGTTTTCGGAACAGCTCCGTTGTAAATTATCCAGCTGCCCATCCTGTGGGGTTCGAAACCCACATCACGGATTCACGGATTGATACACATTATTGAGACTTCTGCCCAAGATTCTCGGGTCGGTTTTGTTCTTATCGTTCAGCGGCTGTCGTTTCCCTAAACGGCACCGGTGAAAAAAGGGTGTAGCTCTGTCCATTGTGTTCTCAACGCAGGGTAGTGCTCTTGCCAGCGAGAGGATTCGTATAAAAAATGCCTAGTAGTGCTTTAAACTGGGTTTCAGAAGGAGCGTCGGAGGAAGGTCATTCCACGCAGCTATCACCCGAAATGAAAAAAATTATGCCTAATGAATGTGTGCTTTCTGGGCTCGAAAATATTCTTACTATAATAATAATAATGTTTATTCCCAACTTGTGGGCAGCATACCGTCAGGCATGATCATAATATTACAGTCAGAACAAGAGCATAACTGATGGGGATTGCGATTTTTGGGAATTTCTTGGGAAAAGAAAGGTGACGTAAACAGTGGCAATTTACGAAATAGACTTCATCACACCTGAGGTGGCATGGGTAGGGATCCAAAAGTACAAGGGCTCTTTATCTCCTATGGAGAACATATCAGATGACACAAGATCCGACTGTTAGGATTTGAAGGCAGCGGGCAAAAACAATACTAGTGAGGGCATAACAATAAGCTTCCCGCGCCGTGTGTTTGTTGGGTCAACGGTGAAAAACTTGTTGGCCAAGCTTTGCTCAAACACGGCATAAATAGGAATTAGGTTCCCTCGGAGGCGACGATACTGCAGGGGAAAGAGATCAAGCATCGCGAGACGGGTTTTGTAGTCCACGGATTTAAGGCCGACAACCATTTTCGTAGCGGCTTGCTGGACAGACTCTATGACGTCTTTCGTGCCAGCCAGATCGAAGCTCTTCTGTACAGCAGATGGAGAGGGAAGGGTGACTAGAAGCCCCAATGTTCGTTTGCTTCCCTTCTGGTGTAACCACTCTGCGTGATGCGATTGGCGATCAGGCTTAGTGAGGACGCTGATAAGAAACGAATATCCCAGCTTCGCTGGTGTGATTTTTCCGGAGAATGACTCCCACATTATCAGTCTGTTCTCCCGCGAGCATTTGTCTACTA